CACGCCCACGCCCACGCCCATGGCCATGCCCACACACACACCCCCCAAAAAAAAAAAAAAAAAAACTCACGTGCTCAGACAAAAGAGAGAAAAGAAGGGCTATGGCATCAATTGAAGTTGCTAAACCCTTCCCATCAATGTACACAAGCACACACACAGGGAGAACTTTCCCCATAGGTCAAAACGCTTGGCAGGTTACAGAGAACATATGTATGGTTAGAATAAAGTGGCCTTCCCATGTCATGTGTGTGCATACATACACAAATGATTGGAACATGATACATAACAAAAAGGAAGATCGGCATGGTTGAGACAGCGAGGACGACCACCTTCTCGATAGGTACAGCAGGCCAAAAGAGGGTGAAAAGAAGAGGAGAGGAACGCTAAGCTCACACACAATTCATGTATCTGCAAGCTCACTGACTTTCTGGCATTTCTGTTCATCGGAACTTCATCCCCATGCTCAGTTGATTTAACTTGATTATGCTGTTATGTTCTGGGAACTCGAGCACAAAAATTGAATGCGAAGGTGATGGGTAAGCTCCAGAACATAACAGCATAATCAACTGAGCGAAGGTGGCGCTGAGGGCATTTCAGTCCCAAGGGCTGTTCATAATTCCTCTACGTTCCAGAAAACTTTTTATTAGCCTAAGGCACGACTTGCTTGAGTACGAGCACTCAAGACGTCCTCCCCACCCCCCACCCCCCACCCCCCGCCCCCGACCAAAATCATCATTGAACTGAAGCTCCCCCCTTTGCACTACCGGGCCAGTTTACCCATCACCTTCGGATTAACTGCAGGTTGTTTGTTACGCACCAGTGTGATATCGAGTTAATGAAACTGATGTGACCCCCCCCCCCCCCYCCCCTTTCTTCGTCGCCAGACTCGCCACATGGTCACCATCCTCTCAAGAGCAATTTGAATTTGATGGAATGATTACACCTGGTTTAGATAATGCCTTTCACAGCTCAACAGGGGAGCGCCACGTGTCTAACCTGCTATCGTCAACAGGTTAGAACTTAGAACTTAGAAGTTAACCTCCGCTTTGAGGATAACCCTGTGGTTGAAAAAAAACAACAACTGTGGTTAACCAGTGTTAAAACAATGGCTTGCAAACTGAGAGCGGCGATACTTTGACAACGGCTGCACTTTTGGATTTGTAATGCTTTTGTGTACATTACGTAGTAGATGAATTCACAATGACAAAAGTTCAGCGTACAAGCATCTACAAACGATTCGACATCATGCTTGCCAATTTACTATTTACTATTTAGCATGGCTACAATCCGGACGTCCGGACCGCCGTCCAGACGGTCTGGATTCAGTCCGGACTCCAGACATCCGGTCTGGAAGGTCCGGATCTGCCAAAATTCAAGGGGGGGGAAACAAAAACAAAAACAAAAACGGTCCAGGACCCTTCCCCATTGAGGAGCCAAGCCCCCAAAATTGTTTTCGGGGTTTTTCAGGCCCGTTTATGCTTTTTTGGGGGGTCCGGACATGCTCTCTCTCTATAATAATTTATTAGACAACCCCAATTTTTTAATTATTAATAATTCATTACCTTTTATTAGTTTTTAACGTATGCTATGCAGAATAACAATGCAAACCACTTCTGCCTCAGAGTCATGTCAGAATTCCTAACCAAACTTGAGTTACAAGTCAAAAACTATAAAAAGCTTTAAAAAAGACTTTTTTCATATTTTTTTATTTTTATTTTTTTTAATGGTCCGGACATTTCCGGACCTGTCCAGACATCTGGACCGTCCGGATCCCCCCATATCCGGAGGTCCAGAAATGTCCGGAATTCCGGACGTCCGAATACTACCGGACACGGGTCCGGTTCCATGTCCGGAAATGTCCAGGTCCGGGTCCGGCGTAGCCATTCTATTTAGCTTGGATTTGTCACTGATAACTTGGCAGCCATAACCCCTATTAAATCCATTTGCATGCAAACATTGGTTAAACCACCAGTAGTAGTCCCTTTCTCGGCTATCGAAGCCGAGCCTAAATCGCCCTGCACACCGGAAAAAACAACAACAACGAACCGGCGCGGGCCTCTTTTTTTTTTTTTCTGGAAAGCATCAAGTATATTTCAAAAATAACCATGGAACGAGGCCGGGGACCTCACAATTCGACCCGGAGTTATCCTGGCAGCCTCAGCCAGTTTCGCTTACAAGCGGAGCTCGAAGACCCACCCACTGCTCAAGGTCAATCCATTCTACTGCTTGGAAACCGGGTCCAGCGTCCCATGGCGCGGGCCTCATTTAGGCTGACGCCGCCAGCCATTTCGTCGGTCCCCCGGTAGCACCGAGCCCCGCCGCAGCCTCCCGCCTTACCCGGCACGTCATGGTTATAATAGCTGGGAAAGGTACTGGTGTGGTTTAAACATTAAATCGCAAGCACACGGCCCCAGCCTTGCAGAAAGTTTTTTGTCGCCACAAAGCAAAATTCGAAGGGGCCACGCGGCATGGGACGCCGTTGAAAAAAAGAAATCGGCGGCCTCCGAAGTGGTGTGGGTTTTTCATGCTGACACCCGCGGGCCAATGTGTGGTGTTGTGGTGGTTTAAGGTTTTGGTCATGACTTCAAGTTGGTAAAGATCATCAGCGAAAAAAAGAAAAAAAAAAAGATCATCAAAGAGTTTTAAACGGACTTGTGCTCTTTGTCAATGGCAGGTTGATGACAAGAAGATCAAGTATGAATTTATGATGCATACGAGTTGTGACGATAAGATTTTATCAAAGATTCAAACTTCAAAAGCGTTGGCATAAATGTTTTTTATTCCGAGACATCATACATATCGATAAGGGGTATTATTAACTTATTGACTTATTATCAAGGACACTTTTTTTTTGGGGGGGGGGGGGGGGGGTTGGGGGGGGGTGGTTAATTTGGTAGCAACATCTTCGGTTCAGGCAACCCCTCTTTGAAGATTACCTTGATGGATGGCGGCCCATCTTTGACAGCGCTTGAATCAAAAACCTAGACATTGTATGTAGACAACATTCAAAAACGAAAAGAAAAACAGAGAAAAGCCAAAACACAGACAGAAAGCTTTTCAAAAAATTCATACAGCATTAAGAAACGGGTGTGACAAAGAAAGGATTGGTTGAGTACACAGTCCTTCCAAACAAGATCTTAGGGTTGATTGAAATCTGACCGCAAACTCCTTCAGATCGGAAGATCTCAGCCTCTCAAAGAACGAAGTACATTGACTCCCACCTCATGAGAGGGAGACTCCCACCTCATGAGAGGGAGACTCCCACCTCATGAGAGGGAGAGTGAAAAGGACCACATGCAGTATAGCAGCGAACTGACACCCCATGTCAGGACATTGCGTATCTTCTGGCAAGATACTACTAAATTTGACTGAAACGACTCTCTCTCTCTCTCTCTCTCTCTCTCTCTCTCTCTCTCTCTCTCTCTCTCTCNCACACACACACACACACACACACACACACACACACACACACACACGCACACACACACACACACACACACACACAAACATATTATTTCAATATCACATTGATCATCTATGCAACAATCAAACCAGGGGGGAATTCCAGATCTACCCAATACCTGGCCCATCAAACCCCCCTTCCTGTAGGTACACTGACATAAAAAAGACCTGGTTAGACTCCCGAGGAGAAAAGAAAAAGGGGTAAGTCGAGACCTACTGTAGTCTGATTCTACCCAACCACTGGTATGATTAAAAATGTGAACCCCCATGGACCGTTTGCTGCTCGCTCCTATCAAGGAAAGAAAAAAAAAAAGGAGGGAGAGAATCCCACCCACCAGGCAGCCACATGGAAATTAATTATTGTGTGGGGACCACCCCTGTTGGGTCATTCGTAAAGAAAAAGCGGAGAAACAGCACCGAAAATAACAAACAGAAAACACCGATGGTAGTGAGGAAGAGGTGGAGAATGGCAATTGTAAGGTATATATAAGTCGGGAGTCCCGAATGACAATTGTGAGGTATAAGTCGGGAGTCAGCACCAATGACAAAGAGGATGAGACCCAAAAAAATCTTGAAAAACTCAGAAAAAGTCCAAAAATATTGAAAAACAAATAAAAAAAATCTGGAAAAGTGGCTACTAATGGTTAAGGGGGGTTACTACCGGTAGGCTTTCCTGTGCCTAGCTAAGCTCGGAGCAGCATTAATTCTTTTTGTCTGCTTCCCTAACTCAGACCAGACCGGTGGAGGCACTAAGTGACTTGGAAATACCTGAGGGAAAGACACACAAGCAATCGAAAGAACGAGTCCTTCGGGACATCTGTTAAAATTGGAACGATACAGATAGAGGAATTGATTAGCATGACCCTTCCGCAAGGATGACGCGCATAAATCGACAAATGGTCCGAAAAAAAAAAAAAAAAAAAAAAAAAAGCAATCGAAAGAACGTCATAAAAGAAGCCGCGAACCAAACAAACTCAGGCAGTGTAATTTTTTGCTGAGGGGGGCGATGGATGAGGGGTGAGTGACCTGTCGCGAGAACTCTGACGTGTCAAATCTTCCAGGACCAGCCATCGCAAATGAACGCTTAGTCACCAAATTCTCCACCTGCACAAGAAGAATTTTTTTTTTTTAATCCAAGAAACGCAATTTTTTTTTTTTATAAATGAATGTAAAAATCTTGTACATCAAGTTGCGAACACTGTGTGATACTAAAGGCCTCGTTGCATCACACTCAGCAAATGCAACAAAAGACAAAACTTATGGCCATGTCTATGTCTATGTCTATGTCCATGTTCTAGCGTAAGATTCATTCCCGTTTTGCGCATTTGGTGAGTGGTGCGGCAAGGCGCCAAACAACATTTTAGCTTCTGTGTTCTCCGGTTGTCTTGTATACATCATACATACATATGTCAGGGGAGAGAGGAAATGTGACTTTTGGGGGGGGGTGCCAGGATTGATTCTGAGCTTGCTTTAGTGTTACGTGATCATCAATTACGACTAGTCTTTTACGACATACATGACCGAAAAAGCGGGCTTCTAAGTTCTAGCCTTCTAGGCCAAATTTCACAGAATTAGTTTTCACATGCTACTTACAAAAGACAAAATTAATATACACAAAGTTTGGACTCTGGAGCTACCTTTGGGCAACTTCTGAGTTACTTTGGTGTTACTTTTTTCAAGTTACTTTTTCACCTTAATGTTTTGACTCTTGAGTTGCTTTTCTGAGTTACTTTTGAGTTACTTTTGAGTTACTTTTAAGTGACTTTTTAGTGACTTTTGAGTTACTTTTTAGTTACTTTTTACTAAGTTTTTAGTTACTTTGGAGTTACTGTTTTGAGGTACTTCTGAGTTACTGTTTTGAGGCACTTCTGAGTTATTGTTTTGAGGTACTTTTTAGTTACTTACGAGTTACTGTTTTGAGGTACTTCTGAGTTACTGTTTTGAGGTACTTTTGAGTTACTTTTTAGTTACTTTTTGGAACCAGACATATCCCAATGAAGTAACCCCCCAGGGAGAGTTTTGCGTATGACATCTGTGTTGAGAAAGAAAAAACGAAAAATGGTCAACAGTTTCTAACTTCCTAAGTTGCTATAAATAGACTGCAGCGGATTTCAAAATGCACCCTTTAGCATATCAAGGGAAGAAGAAACTAGCAGCCAATCCGATGAGAGTATTGGGGTGGGAGAGGAACAGGGGTGAAAGACATAGGTAATTTACTAATTTCAGATCAACCATTTCTTTAAACACTGGAGGGAATAAAATTCAGCAGAGCAGTTTGATGTTTTGCCGAACTACAGTAGTAAGCTCTCTCCCTTGGGAGGGTCGTCAGTGAAATGGGCACCAAGGATCAACTGCAGAGGTCGGACTTTTTTTTTTTTTTTAACTTACTTAGCCAAATCCCGGTAAAGAGTGCACATTACCTCCTCCCCCTCCAAACCACTGTTCTTACACCCAGCAGGACCACTATACTGGATACACACGGCACATCACATGGCACTTCTATTGGGTGTGTATATCCGCACACTCTGTTTGCTCTGCTGTGAGTGAAACGCTGTCATCAACTGGCTGCCAAGCGATGGGCATGTAACAGTAACACAATGTCATAGAAATGGTTCCATGAAAACAAAAGGATGAGAGGAAGAGCGATCAGCACACTTTTTCTTCCTGTCTTTTTCAAGGGTCTAGTTACCAGACCAGAGGAATAGGAGCAGAAGACCACCCACATCCCTTGCCAGCACCAGAGAGAGAGACAGAGAGAGAGG